TAGGAGATAGAGGAGAGGAGAGGAGAGAGAGGAGAGAAGAGAGGAGAGAAGAGATATGAGAGAGAAAAGAAGAGAGAGGAGAGAGGAGTCAAGAGAGGAGAGAAGAGATATAATTTAGAAAAGAAGAGAGAGGAAAGGAGAGAGGAGAGAGGAGAGGAGAGAGGAGAAAAGAGAGAGGAGGAGAAAGAGAGAGGAGAAAAGAGAGAGGAGGAGAAAGAGAGAGGAGAAAAGAGGAGAAAGGGATGGCCCCGGACCTAAGTCTCCTAAGTGGTTTCGCCCGTGGGGCGTTATTATCATTGCATGTACGTGACACGTGTCTGCATTGGGGTTCGTGGCTCCTATCTGGTTCGATTTTTTTCATGATTCCTCATGATGCTCATATTTTCCTCAAATCACACAAGTCTCGTCAACTGGCGCGGCATAATTTTTACATCTTTTATCAGATTTCATGATGTTTCACTACATTTGAGCATTTTTCATCACATTTCCTCATTTTTGTCATTTTTCATCAAGCTTCATAACTTTCCATGATGTTTCATCATTTTAAATCACGTTTCATCATTTTTCATCGCTTTTCCAGCACATGTCATACTTTTCATTTTTCATCATTTTCAGCAAAAAATCGAGCGCTCGCCTGAGACATTCTACAAAACCGCAAAAAAACATAGAAACATAGAAAAGATCCTAAATCAGTTTTTCGTCCGTTTAAACAGTTCGGCTTCTACGGTGAATTACGGTGAGCGGGAAAAGCGTGCAACGTCTGACAGTGGCCTCGTGAATACCGTGCCTGCGAGCGGAATTGGGCTTGTTTTATCTGATAGCCCAGCAGTTGATGGAGCACAGTCATGGTAGTCAGGATGGCCAGTAGTTCCGACGCAACTCGAACCGAAAAGGGTGATGGGCCCGGACCCGGGAGTAAACAGAATGCTTGCCTGAGAAATCAAGAGTTTGGACTCAACACTCAATGCACCGATCCCAGACCAACAGTAACGTATGGAAACTGAAGTAGGGGGGGAGCAAGATCTCCGAACTTTGTGCAGGATTGCTGCATTTTGCGCTGTGCGCTGCGCAATTTGTACCTCTGTCTTTCTTGTTTTCTCGTTTTAGCTCCCGATGCCCTCCAAACTCACATAGGCACTCCCTAAAAGTCCAGCACCTGAGAATTCTGCGGTTAAATGTGCTTTGAATCAAGCTTATGAGCAAAAAGTTTTCCATGCGCAGGCTGCGACAGTAGATTCAGTGGACATAGCATCCCTGCTGTAAGTGCTGAGCGCAACAATGCACAGCAACATGAATTGTGCTTAGTGTCTAGCATCTGTGCCGGTTAGGTTGGTATTGCAGCTGCGATTGCGCCTTGTCAGCAAATTCTGCGGGACGGCTTGGGCTCAAGTTTGCTGAGCTATAGTGATCACATTCAGTTCAAGTACAGCTGCCTGCAAGGTGTTCGTCTTGAGTGGAGCCTCTTCACAGCCCACCTCTTGGGACAAAGAAGCTCAAGAGGCCCACTTGCAGCCAAATTATGGAAGCACTCAGCAATTGTAAGCCAGTGAGGAACGCGAGGAGACTTCTGAGACTGAGACTTCGGCCCAAATTGTGGAAGGTGTGGAAGGCCAGAAGAGCCAACAAGTGCTGGCCACATGCTGCCCTTGACACGCAGGCCGCCTGGATGAGGCTGAACGGGAGACATCGGCTGCGGAGGCGTCAGGGACCACGGAGCAGTCCATGGCACTGAAGTTCTGGGATCCAGCTATGGATGTCGACCTGCGCGCTCTCCAGACCAGACCAACACGTGAGAATTTTTGTGAAAGCTCCGCCGAATTTGTCACCAATCCCAAGGCTCCAAGGCTCGACCGGTGATTTTGCAGATGACAAGTAATAAATATCCTTAGCCTTAGCACTTGTCGACCATTTGCTGGTCTCGCTTTGTGTTAGGCTGAACGCTCATTTGATCTTGTTTGCCTTGCTGTGCACTTCTCAAGCCGGCTCCGTGCGTCACCCGTCTGATCGGCCTTTGCGGCAAGCAATGGCCTTGTCAGGAGCGGCGGCAAGAAAAGAGCAAGAACACAGGAAACGAAGGAAGCGAGGAGAGGCCGAGTCGGTCAGTTCCAACATCGTCGATCGCTCAGTGCTGCTGACAACTCAGGCCGCTGCTCAAAATTCGCAAGGGCAGGTTGAATCCAGAAGAAGAGGCCATGCGACTGGCTACATAGAGGGGCAGGCAGAGCCGTCCCACAGTGCCACAATCCCTAACAGGCCAAGTTTCGACAAGGAGTAGCAAATCTGCCACCGGAGTCAAAGGAGGCCATCAGGGAATGGATGGAGCTGCAGCACAGCCGCGATAACTTGCAATGACATGTGGCAAATTGGAGCGTATGCTCTGATGAGCTAATTACGCGTCTTTTGGGATGTTTGTGGACTTACTTTTGCCATAGTATTTTGTGGACTAAGGACAGGCAAAGGCGATACGTGGGCTCTGCTTGGCCTGAACTGCATGCTTCTTATTTTCATCACAGGCAGGAACTGTCAGCTCAGCATCCTGATTGGCAGTCTGCAGCAGTCTGCCGTGACGGCAGGTTTGCTTGCGCTGGGAGCTGCGGCGATTGTAGGCAGAGACTTTGAGTGATGCAAGAAGCCAAGTGCAGCTGCAGAAATTCAGTGAAGAGCTGCGTTACAAAGGACTTGCTGCAACAGGTGGCCTGCAGATCAATATCTTTGACGTGCAAGTTTGGGGCTTCCGAGCTGCAAACAATGTTTCGCTGCATTGAGGGTAATTCTACTAGACATTCACGCTAGCGCACGGATTATCGTCCCGATTTTGCCACGTTTTGCACGTTGGTGTTCCGAGAGCATCCGATAACCAGAGCGTCCCCAGAGCATCCGATAGCCAGAGCATCCATGCCCAAACAACGTTCGTGTTCGAAGAGCATCCGACAACCAGAGCATCCATGCCCAAACCATGATAACGTTTGCGTTCCAAGAGCATCCGATAACCAGAGCATCCATGCCCAAACCATGACAACGTTCGTGTTCCGAGGGCATCCGATAACCAGAGCATCTAGAGCATCCATGCCCAAATCATAATTCGGCCATAATTCATACCATTCGTGTTCCAAGAGCAGGCGGAGACCAGAGCATCCGAGCTAGAATAACGTTCGACCAGAGCATCCATCCCCAAGCCATCATTATGTTCGAGCTTGTCCGCACGCAGCTTTCAGTGGTGCTGGCAGAACTTGCGCAGAGACCTGTTCAAAACAAGAGGCACGCACCTTGAGAAGCTCAGCAACTGAGAAGAACAGAAGGAGAGCTATGTCCCCAAATGCCAAAATGCAATGAAATTCGGCCCCTGCCGAAAACGATTGTTTTCTGCCCTCAACCACCACGAAGTACAGTAAGTTGCAGTGGATTCAGTGCCTCCTGCGGTTTTTGTCGTATGAACTATCTTTGCGTCCGAAATAGCGCAAAGCAACGTGTAGCAACATTCCGAACAACAGCTGAGCACGTTTTTTTAGGCCCCCCGAAGTCCTTATTAACTAAGCCGGAAGTGTGGCGAGAGTGACAATAATCCATGCATCGCAGGACCTTCATGTAGCTGCAACGATGCAAAATCTTGGACGATTCCAAGGGGATGGGTATGCCAAGCTGAAGATTGCAATGAAACAGGGCTCTTGGCCTCGGCATCTACCGGTACCCTGGATCCAAGAGCGACGACCATTCATTGTTTCATTTCTGTGCAGTTCTTTTACGGATTTTTGCACCAGCGTGACCGAATCATTACACAGCAAGAAAGGTGCAATCCCAGGCTCTGCATCATGATCTGGCTGAGCTTTGAGGGGAAATGTCTCTCTCTAGCGTTCAGCGCTTGAGCGTGATTTGTGCCAAAGTGCTGCAATCTGCGACCTCAGCGCCATAAGAAGGCGAGGAGTGGTCTCACTGCCAGCTGAGCGAGCTTGGCATCTCACAGCACCTAGTCGTGCAAAAATGGACTCGACGCTAGACGCAGCTGAAGAACTCTGAAAGATACTGAGAGACTTTACCATGTCGAGCCAAGCCTGTCGCCGAAATAGCACTAGAGCCTGCCTGCCAACCGCTGCCAACCTGCCGTAAAAAGGATACAGGAGGAGCTCACAAGATGGAGCAAAAAACCCTGGGGTCCCGTTGCGCCATTGAAGCCATGCGCTTGCTTGCCTTGTGGTTCTGGGTTGCCAAGAGCAACTGTTTGGTTCCTGACGTCCGGCGTTCTGCACCTGCAGGCGCATGTTGGGAGCTGGTGGTGCCTGATGGGGGTCGTTGCACGCCTCGGTGCGCGAGTGGCTACACAGCATCAGAGACGTCCCTGGCGTGCGAAGCTGGACAACTGACCCCTTCAACTTTCAGATGCGAACCGTGCGAATCCAAAATCGCACCATTCGAGCTCTCGCGATGCATGGATGACATTTCTGCGTGCGGGGAGCAGGCCATCTATGAATCATGTTGCCCAAGTTTCCTCTTGTGGAATTGGACCATTGCTTTTTGTACTTCTTGCCCTGGCCAGCGCCTGCAATACGCGACCCATCTCGCTCAAGCTGGAGACTGGGAAGGCCGAATCAGACTGGGTAGGAATGCCACTCTGCTAAGCTTGCAGGAAATGCGTTCAACACGGTGCCTTTCACCCTGCAAGGGCTGGATGACTTGACCTGGCGACCTGACAGAGGCTTGGAGGTCAAAACAAACGTGTGGCGCTGCTTCACAAGCAGTTCTGTGCAATGTTTGGGGGGGGGGTATTCATTTTCCCTTGCTGGCGAGGCTCAGAAGTAAGTCAACAAAGCAGGCAGCAATAGCAAGAGGGAAGACGCTATGGCATGCAGGCAGGCAAAGGAAAGAAATCACTAATCCAAAGCCATTCAGGCAGCATGGCAGCTTTGAGCTCAGACGCTGAAGCTGGGCACTCCATCTGTGCGCGCAGCAAGACCAGCAGGATGAAACAGAAGAAGCGTTTCGTTCGACACAAAGAATCGACCCTATGTAGGGAAAGATGTCGGCGGCAAAGGGTGCGACACGATTTCATCTACACCCGGCAAAGGCGACAGAGACCACATACGTCAACAAATCGTGAAGTGCTTCCCGGAACAACTTGCAGAATCCGTTTCTTGCATGGGGAAAGGCGCACAGACAAAGCGTAGGCAATCGACCACCTAGTTTCAATCGCTGCCATGCTGGGCAGCCAGTTTCATCCAAGTCCTCGTAGCTTCCTGAATCACTGAAGCTAAACAGGGTTGTAGACTGGGCTTGATGCAACTTCCGAAGAATTGTTCGTTGCAACCCCTGAACGCCAAATTGTAACGAGGTTCGCCATACACACTGTTTTGGGACTAGTTAAATCCAGCTTCGGAATACATTTTGGGCACGGCAGCTGCAAGAGACTATATCGAGTCCATACGTCGTTCCAGACATTTGGGGCGCATCTGTCAGTTCGATCCATACATACTGCAGATCAACATGCGCACATAGGCGACATTCGAGCAGGGCATGGCTCCAAGCTTTCCAGAGCGATAGGAGAAAGTGTCTGTGCCAGAATTCCTGCACTGCTGCCTGCAAGCATTTTTGGGCGACAGCTGGGATCTTGTTGCTCATTCGTGCTCAAGCTGACAATGATGACGTTACAGGTTGCAGGCACAAGTAAGCTGCTAAGGCTTCTAAGGTCTTGAGCAAAGGCAAAGAGGCTGTACAGATAGCTGCGCAGGTGGAAAATTGTTTTGGAGGAGAGAGTATTCTTTTCTAACTGACCTTGGCTGCGCAGATGGATGCAATCACGGCACCGGAGGCAGGATCTGTAAGAAGAGCTCATGTGGATGGAACTTGTGGTCACCACCATACAATCCCAATTTCCATTTCACTTTCCATGTTCTTTCCATTTGATTCGCCGCTTGGCCCTAAACTCTGGAACCCAGATCCTTGATCCGTAAACCATAAACCCCAATTCATCCCAAATCCTTGATCTCTAAGCCCTAGACCTCCAATCCTTGATCCCTAAACCCTATACCGCAAATCCTTGATGTCTAAACCCTAAAGCCGCGTGGCAGACGTAAGAGTCCGAGGGGTTGTAAAAAACACCTAAATCCCGAATCATGGATTTATCACAATCAAAATAATCAACCTGCAACTCTGTTGGGCATTGCATCCCCCCTTGAAGCCGAACCATTTGGATGCACCATGAATTGAATTCTTCAAACAAGAAGAAAGTGGAATCGGCAAGCAAGATGTCTAGGCTCAGATAATGCAGCTGAACCGCTTCAAACTCTCAATGGCCTGATCGAAGAGATTGACGGGCATGCGCCTGAAAACTTACATGGTGTGAAATTCGGCTGTGGTGCCAGCTTTTTGTGAGCTTCAATGCTGCGATATCCCGGAAGCTTGCCAGCTGCCTTGCACCTGATGCTGAAACCTTCTGACTAACAACATAAAAGCAGTCACCGGTTGATGCGAATGGCGCGGTATGGCAACCATACTGCTCATCGCGCTCTCTCTCGCTCTCTCTTTCTCTCTCTCGCTCTCTCTCTCTCTGCAGCCACGAGGACGGTCTCGACACTGCCAGCGACTGCCTCAGCTTCGAGGGCATCAAGCTGATGAGGACCACATGAGCAGTTAAACAATAGGCGGTAGAGGAATGTTGATTAGATACGGAAATAACGTCGGAAACCGGCGGGCGACAACTTCCGAAAAGCGGTTCCCACTGTGCGCGCGGAAGATCGCGGANNCTTTCGTGGAAGCACTTCGCTTGCGGAAGCTCTTGCGGAAGCTCCTTTTTCAATCCGCCGAATCCCAAGCAAAAGCTTATGGAGATGGAAGGTTAGTAACTTCAGAAGAAACTCAGCCGTGACGTGCCTCTCCCCAACACCTAAACCCTAAAATGAAGACCCCCTTGTACTTGCAAAGCCCTAATGAATTCTGGGCAGGGCACTGGAGATGGTAAATCCCGCGCGTTTCGTCACTAGAGCTGTTTTCTGTTTTGGCAATAAGGGAGCCACCACGGAGATACTTTCCCGGGATCGGGTCCCTGGAACTAAAGAAGTGACGGGGATTTTGCCGAAGTTCTGCGGAAGCTCCGCGGAAGCTACGGGATGGGTTTGGGAGTACTTGGCCACTCGTTCTTTGACGCAATACCAATTCCCAAGTGACCGCCTCTGGTTTGAACCTTGAATAACCAGCCCAACTCCCCTTTGAATAAGTTACCGAGTGACCGCTTTTGATTTCAACCCTCTACAAGGCCAGCCCCAACCCCGCCCTTTTAAATCAGTTCGCGCTCAATGTACTCTCGGGCTTTGGACGGAGAACGCCGAAGACTAAAAATCCCTTTCTCGGAAGAGCAGCGGAAGCACCTTAGACGAAAACGTTCGCGGAAGTGCCTGCGGAAGCACAGCGTCGGAAAACCTGCCGGTAGTCTTCGTGCAGGTTTCGCGGAAGGTCCGCGGAAGCTCGCGGGCGGAAGCTTCCTCATTTCAATGAAATATATACCTATTTTTTAAGAGCTTACATGCATTAGTTCGCTGAGGCAACGGCCCGCGATTGATCGCGGCATTGCAAGATAGACTCAGGCGCCAGCGGCCTCGCTTGTTTGAGAAAGTTGAATTTGCTAGCTGAATTTGTTCAAGATGTTGGAAGAGCGGTTGGAGGCAAGCACTGAATGAGCTCCGCGCGTGCACTCAGCTTAGCATGCAAGCGGGTTCTTGCGGTCAGTGTCTTGGTTTTATCCCAGGCAGGCAAAACGAGGATTCTGCCGTCGAACGGCCACATTTCAGCTGTGATTTGAAGGATCTTGAAGCGTGTGTAGTAAATTGCGAGCATTTGCAAAGGATTCCTGAACTGGTTCAATGGAAGTTGCGTTGCCTGCAGGATCATGCCGACGTGTTGGGGCCGGCTGCAGTGGCGCGGGAATCAGCAAGAGCCCATGCGACACACGTGTGGACGAGTGCTGCATTAGTGGACCAGGCCGCGTGTATGTCGAGCTCAGCGCAGAGACCGAATGCGCAGGCGCAGGGCGGAGGGACTTGCCAGGAAGCCGGCTCTGTCCACGAACGTAAAACCAGGCTAGTGCGACGGCTCAACCTACTGTTGAGGAGGCGGGGTATGAATGCCTTCCCAGCACTTGCCTTTGCTCAGTCCTTCCGAATCCTTCCCAGATTGAATTTGCTTCGAAACAGAGGCTAGCAATCTCAGCTTAGCTTTGGAGTTGATGGTCACCAGCACAGACTCGGGTACTGTTGATACTGAACACCCTGCAACGATTTTGCAGACAGGCCTGCCACCCTGGAGCCCCTGATCTCAATAATGGGGGGCGTGCGCGAATAATAGAAATCCTGCATGGCCTAGCCAACATTGAGATTGAGGGCCTTGGGAAGTCTTTCATCCTTTCTGCGCTAGCTGCCTAGCTGGATTATTCAGGAATTTTGCCTTCCAACGCTGCGCCCTTTGCAGTACAAATGCTGAGGTGAACACCGGATATGAATAGTATAATGTACAGCTAGAGGCTTTATACTTGTGGTATGGCTGTTGCTGGCCTGCAGCCAGAAGATTTCAGGTTAAAAGATGTTAGAAACTTAATGCGACACACTATCCGAAACAGGCCCAAAAGCGTTTCCCTAGCATGCGCACCAGCATAAGTCATTATTTTCGGAAAGGAGAAGCATGAAACAGAGAATGGGCATTGCAAAGTTGTGCTGTAATATGATCCACGCTGATCCAGAAAGAAGCGTCTGTGCGTCACGTGCAAAAGGTGACTTTTAAGAAGTGCATGATGACAAGCACAAGGGCACGAAGAAAACCGCGCAAGTCTAGCCTCCCCGCATGTCTGAAGCCTCAAGCGGCTGTGCCCCCCGCGCTGAAAACCATCATGAAACCCCTTTGCGAGATAAAAGGCGATGCGCCCTCAGCAACCCTCCGTGGCAGAGGTTCAAAGGCGTTGGGGATGATGGGAAGATCAACTGCCACATCAACTGCCAACTGCCACAGCGCGGCCCGAGGAGGTTCACAGACGGATGCGAAGGAATGCGAGCAATTTCAGAGGATACTGGGTCCTTGTTGTTTCGTGTGCCGAACCCAATGGCCCTGTGCCAAAACCACTGTGCCCTGCGGAACGGCTCATTTGTAAGTTTACAAGCATCGATGTTGAAGGGCATACATTTGATACAAATAGAGGGGCACGCTGGATTAGAAGCGATTTTTAGAATATGGCCTCTACTGATATGA